GAAAATTCACTTTTCCAAACTAGGACAGAAACAAAACATTAAGCCCCACTTTGCTCCTGCTAAAACAACCAGGGTTTTGGAGACGGGTTCCCTGGGTGGCAGGAACAGCCTGTCACCAAATCCCTTTTGCCCAAAGTGACTGTGGCTCCAAAGATATACACCTCGGGCCACCTGCACCTGCTCCTGCTGATGTCTTGGTCATGCTCCCACTGAATTCAGTGGTCAAGGTCCTCCAGAGGAAAGGGGACTGTCCAGTGTGCCCAAGGTCAGTTGGAGGCAGGGGCAATTCCACATCCCCAGCAGGGAGATGGCTTTCCCCGGAGGATGGGCTGATGTGGAAGAAATGTGAAGTAAATCTGCTCAGTTGCACCACTGAGACCAAAATGGGGCCCACAATCATGAAGATATCAAGATCTTATCTATCTATCTAAGCTGGGCACATGGTCCTCTCCCAGTGAGATGCACATGCCCATTAATTCTCACTGGGGTGTCCAGGGATTGGGCAGGGAGGGCAGGACGCTGCCAAAAGGCTGGGAATTTCTATAGCATTCCAATAGTTCAAAGGCCATATCACCAGCTCTGAAACCCCTCTGAGCATCCCAACCTTGGCTGACTTAACTCCATCCCTCCTAGCTTGGCCTTCAATGGAAACGACGGGCTGGAGTGCGGGAAGGGGACAGTTGCATCCTACTTCCCACTGACGAGAATCACCTGTCTGCTCATGTAGCAGCTTTCTCCTTCCCCTTTCACTCCCCATCCCTCGCAGCTCTTCGGGATTCAGACTGTGCAGTGCTTCTGAGTGCAGTAATTAGAGCACAGTGAAATACTGGTTAAATGCGTATGTACACTTGGATAACGTAAAAACAAGCACAAATACACACTTAAAAAAATAATCTGGAAAACCAAAAAACCTCATAAACTCCATCCCCTTCCCACCCCCCAAATAACAACATACCAGGGAAAAATCACCTTAGCCTCAGTTCCTGGACTTCTCACAAAGCACAAGAAAAACAAAACCAGACAACGTTATGAAACCTCACGATACTTCTAAGGAAATCTACACTTCAGTATCTATCTCTCTACTCAGCTGGCAGAATCAGTGTTTTCCTTTCAAACACACAAAAATAGGCTTTGCTCTTCTTGGGTTTGGATTATGCGGGTTTTCTTTTCTCTTTTTTGTGTGTGTGGGTTGTTTTTGCTTTTCTTCCTCTCTCTAGAGCCTCAGTTGTTATTTTATTCCCTCACTTGAATCAGTTGCAGCAAGAAACTTCTGTTGGCTATTGGGCTTCATTTTTTTTTTCCCTCTCTTTTTGGTTTTTCCCTTTTTTTGTCTTTTTTTTTTCCTTTTGTTTGTTTTTTTTTTTTTTTGGTTTTTTTTTTCTTAAACACAGGTAAAACCTAGAACAAACCGACAGTTACAACCAAGTGAAACCGAAACCGGAAGGGAGGTAGCTGGAACCCGCCTCCAAGAGTCCTCTGGTGCCATCCTCCTTTCTCAGCCTGGGGTGGGGACAGCGAAGATGCAAGAAAAGCAGGAGGACACCAGCTCAGCCCCTCTGTGAGAGGGTGGGGAGAGATTGGAGTAGCAGCTGATAGGAGTTTCCCACCCCACCATGCACCACTGACCGCTTTCTGCTCCAGTTTTCCCTCCCACTGGCCATGGACAACTCCAACAGCCAGGAGGCTGGCTCATGGCCCCAGGTAGGGTGCAGCCTTGGCTCACTGTCTGTGACAAAGAAGATCTTGGCACTAATGTGACCTGGACTTTATGAGCAGCTAAATGTCATCAGCATGAGCACCCTGTCCTGACCCTCCCAAATTCTTGTTTGATGTTGACCTACGCCATTGGGTCAATGGGTGACATGGTGGGAAATGTCCCTCTCACCTGCCACCCAATGGCCATCATAGTCATGGAGGGTCTTTCCTATAGACTCCACTGGGCATTCAAGGCCCTTACAGTGGTAGATGCTGCAAGGCCATCCCGCTGGCCTTGCCCCAGCATGGGAACACAGGGAACAAGAGCTGAGGCCATGCCCCATGGCTCCCATCTCCACATGCCCCTGGGTGCACAGTACAGCACCTGAAATGCAGAGGGCAAACCTTTGCCCCAATGCTATCTTTTCCCAAAGGAAAAAAAACAAAATGCCACTGGATTACTGGATTTAACATGACACAGAGCAGAACTTCTGCTCCCGCTTCTGTCAGCCACGTTGGAGGAGACAGACAGTGCCAACATAGCAGTTGGAAAACAAAAATCAAATAGCAGCATGGAAAGCCCATTGGAAAGAGTTGGGTCACCTCTGGACTGCAGGAGTGAAGCTGAGGTGTGAAGACTGTGCTGGCAAGAAGCCACCATCTCCCTTGAGCTTAAAGGACTCCAACTCAGTGAGCAGAGGCTGGACCTGGCTGGGCAGAGGAGCTCAGCAGGCCCTGAGCTCCCAGGAGCCCACAGCAGCAAGTGGCAATAACGTTTATACAGACCTGCCTCTCCTGGGCAATGTCTTAGGTGGGACAAGCAGATGGAAAATCTCCATGCCGAGCTGCATCACTGAGAAGGGGATTTTGGAAACCAAGCTGCCATCAGGATGCACACGGGACCTGAACTGAGGCTCCCTGCTAGGGTGAAACCCAGGTGGGGTGGAAGGGAGAGATATCATCAAGATGCCTCATTGAGGACATGATGCATTGGCAGTCTGAAAGTTTGTGAGCTCTTCTGATGGGCTGGATGGCACATGAGCAAACTGCCAACACAAAACAGGAGGTCAAAGGGACCAGAAGGAAGGAACTTTTTCACAATTAACTTCCATTGTTCATGAGATGACAAGGGGCAAAAGTGGCCATTTTGCCCAGGCGCAGTTTTTGTCACTGTTCTCCACACTGGTGGACATTCAGCCTAATTCCATGAAGGAGCTCTGATCCCACCACACCTCCCTTTCCTGTGCATCCCTGCACCATGGGGCAGAGCCATTTGCACAGCTCCCATGGCCAAGCCTTCTCCAGGAATAACTAGGAGCTTCACAACAGGGCTCCTCACTTTCTTACGACAATCACCTCTCCAGGCCTCTACATTTTAGTCCTTGAGATTCGTTTCTGGTTTATTCTGATGGAAACAACCCCAATAGTGGGTGACAAGAGCCTGGCTCCTTACACCTACAACTCTGTCAGTTTTCCATATCTAGTTCTCCTACACATCTTTACATCCACCCGCATGACTCCTTCCCTTACCCTTCTGCCTTGCTCCAGTGCCTAAACGTTCAATCAAGCAGTAGGACAAAAATCTTTCCAACCTGTCTTTACCCAATAGATGTGGTAGGGGGGTTGGAACTAGATGATATGTAAGGTCCCTTTCAACCCTAACCATTCTATCATTCTATGATTGTACAAGTCATAAAACCCCCAAGGAATAGAAGAAGACTTTTTTGGATGTGTGTTCTTCCTAGCAGGTGTCTGAAGCAGCAGAAAACAAGCCCAAGCCACACTGGAAAGGTCTCTCGGATTCCCATGGGATGGGCTGTAGCAGCAGTGGCAGTACTTGATGCACTGGGCATCTCAGTGACTCAATGTGATGAACCCTACAGTGAAATAAGTCTCCAAGGGCCTGGCACAACACGGATGAAGCTATATGATAGGGAAGTGTGAGGTCTGCTGCAGCTAATGCCCTTCCTTCTAGGAGATTACAAGCAGCTAAGCTCCTGGTCTATCAAAAGTGCCCAACCCACTGGCCTGGCAGCATAATACTGACAAATATGGCCAAAATTCTAATACTGTCTCCTACAGTCCTTTCCCCATAGCATGTGCCTCTTCCTGCTCTTCCCCTCTCCTGAGAAAACAGGAGCATGAAGCGGTTGTTAGATATAGACCACCAGAAGAAGGAGGTGGAGGAGGTCTAGAGAACCACTTAGCTGGATGGAGACCAGAAAGCAGATTCCTTTGGCTGGCTGGTGTCCTGTTTTCTTGCCCCAATGCTGAGGAAGAGACCAGAGGGTTTGAAAGGCAGGTTGTAGGTAAGCTTTAAGGCAGACTGTTTGGTTGCATGGGGTTGTTTTTCACCCTGTCCTGACACAGTAAGGAAACTAGTTGTATGGGACATAGCAGCAGGAGTAGCAGCAGCAGACATGCTCAAATGACAAGCGCGGGCGTGAGTTACCCTCTCTGCTCCTCAGAAGCAATCATCCACCTTCCTCAATGCCAGTCCTTAGACTCCCCACTCCCTGACTCCACCATGGGACCACTTGCCCATCTCCACGTAGAAACATCCCAGCAGCCCTGCAGGCTACAAGGGGGCTTTTTGTTGGCTATTTGAGGGCAGGGGGAGAAGGAGGAGCTGTACAGAAAGGCCATTGCAGTCTGCTGAGCTCCCTGGCTGGAAGTAGCACTCCTGTGAGGAGCAGAAGCATCCCACATCTCAAGCTGGCTGAGCGTCTGGCAAGTAACTTGCCAAGAGGCACAGCCCTGTGGAGATCCCACCCCAATCTCAGTGCCCCGAGCATGCGATACCTTGGCATTCAGCATCAGAAAAGGCTCAGCTTGGAGTCCTCCAAGAGCACAGCCTCTTCCATGAACGGTCTGAGTTGTGAGTGCTGGGGAGGGGAAAGTGTTTTTGCGTTGATCATCATCTCTCACTCTTTCTCTCTTTCTCTACTTATTTCTATAAATATGTGTACATAAATAGCTTGTTTCTCGCCTTGAATCTAAATATGAACTGTTCAAATTAGGTGGGCATTAACATGCTGTTTTGATACATGAAAAGTCTTCTCGACTTGACTCTTGGTTGTTTGTTTCTTGTCATCACTATTTAAGATATAGTTAATACATAAACCCCTACTTTTGAGTTCTCCTTGGACAAAAATTAAAGGCAGACTGGTTGAATTCTAAGGGTCCCTGGTGCAGAAATGCCATCCAGTTGAGCAGCTAAATGTTAAAAACGATACCAAAAGGGATGTGGTGTCTCTCCTAGCCTGCCTTGAGCAGTGTGGTCCTCCATTCCACGTCACTTGGCATTACCCAAGACTGAAGCCACGGAGGTCTTTCTGATTGTGCTCTTGGGCATTGGGGTCCCGGCAAGCACATTCTCCTTGTAGGTCACAGGACATAGGGAAGGGAGTAACCTGCGGAAAGAAACCAAAGACACAAAGACATGAAGGAGAGAATACACCTACAGCACCTTGGAGAGCAAATGAGACCTCTGGAGTGGTATCTTCAGAGATCAGCTGCAGCCTTCAACTATGTTATTTCTACAGTGATTTATTTTACTGTTGAGCTGGTGGTGCATTGAGGCCTCAGGTGAGCTACTCGTTCATAAGAAAAGCTGCAAGAAGTGTAAAGAAGAACCTGTTCAACTCATGCAGTTACTGGTCAGCAGATATTCCCTTAACAATTCATATCAAGCACATGAATGTAGCTGGCTGGGAAATGTGCGCTTCTTGGGCAACTCAGGGGCTTTTAGGGGTACTTACCACAGAGCTTGGATTCCATTACACCTCCAGCCTCCTCTGAAAAGCTATCCTTACCCCAAAGGCTATAAACACTAAATGACAGCAAAGATACAAACCCCTCATCTCCCGCGGCCAACTCAAATGTTCACCAAACACTACAGCAGGTCCCAACTCCAGCTTCCCAACTCCATGGCACTTCTGCTCAGCCTGGGGGTTCTGGTGAACCTCGGCCATAATGTTCCTGCTGCAGGGCATCATTTTGCCCTGTGGCTTGGGATGCTGCTTGGGTGCCAAGTCCATCTATGCATTTAAGTATGAATGTTCTTGGTTTCAATTCCTCAGGAACTGAACCAAACAATCAGTGAACTGAACTAAGCACATCAGTGAAGCTGCAGTCCAGCAGAGACTTCTCCAAATACCTGCTGTGCTTTAAGGTCAAGAAATGCAGCTAATGTGCATTGAGGAATGGCAAAGGAATGCAAGTAAGAGCCTTCTGCATGCATGATCTGTCATCTGTCTATGATCTCTCTGGAATGAGAAGGAACTGAAACAACAGCCTGCGGAGCCTGGCTAGTGGAGTTGATTTTGGCTTATTGCATCATAGCCTTTACATAAAGAAAAGGGGGTGGCAGTGGAACAGTGTCTCACTTGCCCTGAAGTGAATTCCCAAGAACTTCTCCCATCTGCACAGGCTGAGCAGTGACCTCATTCCTCTCCTTTACACCCCTTCCAAGGCAGTGCCACAACCTGTTCCAATGTTCCTGGCGAGGGCTGCAAGTGCGCGTTCCTTGGCTGTGCTGCCGCATGTTTGCTCTCTCTTTCATAAACACTTTTCTCCAGGCTATGAATCCCGAGTCTCCCTGTTACCTACGTATCATCAACAGCACATCTAGGAATGTAGAGCTAGCACCATGCGTGAGCACGGAGCTGTCATTTCCACCTAAACCTTCCATACGTGTCCCTGCATGTCCATCTCCAGCGTGCCTTTCTCCTGACGCACACAAGAACGGGATGGAGGGGTGTGGATCTTTATTTCACAACTGGGAACCCTAAGGCAGGGACATGCTGACAGAGATATTAGATAGCCAACGTTCATCACAAAATTAGGGTTTACAGAGCCTCCCCCCCTTGCTTTTGACTTCATTTCCAGAAGACCTGACCCTCCAGGTAGAACAGGGTGATGACTCTTATTCAAGCCATGGCCTTGGTGACTTATGAGCTAAATAACCAACCAGTGAATGATTTGAATCTACAATTGTGCGAATGTGGAGGTTGCAAAGAGAAGAGATAGTCCAAAAAGTTAAAAGCAAACGAATTGAAATAATTGAAAACTGAAGAAGTTTATAAACTGCAGAAAACAATAGGAGCTTAAGGGTCACTTCATCCAACTGCAGCCAGCCAGAGCAAGACTGTCTCATATCACAGCGTTATGAATATTCTTAGATAGGAAAACAGAGAAGTCTGCAAACAATGGGGCTTGGGGAGGAGGCTGAGGAGGGATTGTTTAATGACTGAATTAAAATATTGAAAGGAGAAAAGAAAAGATACATGAAGGAAACATTGACTTTTTCTGTTCAGTGTAGAAAGAAACATTTTGGTTTAGATTATCTGCTACCGTGCAGGTTTGACCTTTCCCTCCAAGACATATCAATAAAAAAGACTATTTCAGAGCAAAAATTATGTCTTGAAATAAAAACTTATTTCACTTAGAAAATACTCAAATAAAACCATTTAAATAAGTCTGGAGTTTTCCCCTGATTTTATTTTTTATCCTGAATCATGCAGTTCAATCTGGATTTGGCAATGATTTTGACTTAAAAAAATCCTCCTTTTTGTACAACAAAGCTACTGGTTGCAGGAGAAAGTTGGGAACCTGCTTCTTTCATTTTTCTTGATCAGGCTTTTTCCTCTTCCTGGCCTGGACTCACTGTGTTTGTCTTCAACAGCCTAACAAAGGTATTCAAAGCAGAGACAGGCTCACAGGGAAGGTGGATCTTGCACTGAGCATCAGCCAACCACACACCCAGCTCAGGCAATATTCAGTAAGGTGGCTGAAATTAGCCGTGACATCCTACTGCACTTTGTCTCTGTTGCTGTCCATGCACAAGGAGGCCAGTGAAATGTGTTGCAGGTATGAAGATCCCAGAAATGCTGGGACATGCTGGGACATTTCACTCATGGGAACATCAGAGACAAAAGGTAAAGCCCTGCGTGGCTGCATCTCCAAACTACGAGCTCACACTCCCCAAACCTACCCTGTGGGCTGTGCAGAAATAGTGGCCTTTGAAACCCGAACCGGCATGAGTTTGATGTTGCCTTGAAGAGATCTACTTTCTTCATCCTCTGTCCTTCCATTTCTCCTTGCAAGTCTCCCATTTCCCCCTTTTGATTTCTTACAGGTCACTGAAAAGTGAGTGCTCAGCACTGGAGCAACCAAAACAAAAGGTGCACACAAATCACTACTACATTGCCATTACATTGCAGCTGATTTCTGGTGAGAAGGAGCTACCAGAGAAGAAATGTCTTGCTGTGTGTTGTCCTCTAGAAACCCTCCAGTCTCCTAATACTGACATGGACAGAAGAGCAGAAGCTTTCTCTCTGGAGCAGATGAGAGCAGACAGTTTCATGGCTCAGCAGCAGTTCACAGCAGTGGGTAGCTCAAGTGTAAGAGGGTTCCTTCCTGATCAGATTATTCACTTTATGTCCCTTACAGAGCTTTTTTGTGCAATCTGAGTTTTACAGTGCTATTGTCCAGATAGATGAATTGTTTTGTCTTATGGCAGTGAGCTCCAGAGATCAGTTTTCTATTATGTGAAAAGGCAGAGATTTCTATGGGTAATGAGCACATCCACAGTCATATTAGACAAGAGAAAATTCTCCAAACACTTAGCAGTAATACAGGGTTTCCACTTTAAACAACATCTACAATACACGTTTGAGTTCCCCAGGGACCTGATTTCCATAGGTATTTAGGGCATCTAACCCCCACACAGCATCCACCAGGATTGCCACAAGTACCCAATTGAGAGAAACCATAAAACCCCTTAGAAGAAGGAGTGTCTCTTGCCTTGGGCTCACACCGTGATAGCCCTCTGGAGTACAGAGCCATGAATAAAGCTGCTGGATGTGCTAGGAATAATAAATGCTAAACCTTTATCTGAATGATAGCCCATTTAGGTGTGGAGCCCAGATCTACATACTCCAAGATGAAGTGCTGCTTTTCTTTTTAAATAGGTCTGTGAAAGCCCAACTCATTAACAGAATATATGACCTGTACTGATATTTCCAGAAATACCCATTGTAAAGCCAGTATTAAAGAATTGGCTCTTCTTCCTTCCTACGTTTCACCTACATCTATCTCCCCCCGTAGAAAACCTTGCTACTATTTAGGAGAGCAGGGAGAAAAAGCTAAAAATTAAACTTAGAGCCTGGCTTGGTCATTGATGAAGTAATGCAGGATATTGCCTCCTCAGACTAACTAAAATAGGTTGAAAAGACAAAACTGAAGAACACAGCTCCACATAACCACATGCAACCCCTACACACACACGTATCTCCTGGAGATGATCCAGAACAGAGCTGTGCATCAACAGCATTCGGGAATATGGGTCACCTGAACCACACTGGACCACAGACCCATCTATCTTCAACAGACACAACCTAAGTCATGTCTGTCACTGCAGGAGTGTGATGGAGCCTGAAGGAGCAATTGCAGCAGGTATAGGGTTGTGGCCCAGGCAGGACTAGCACAGGCACCAGGGCGATCTGAGACACCTCCACCTTGAGCAACACACCACCCATGTTGTGCAGCATATGAACCCACACTTCCACTCTCCACAAAGGAATGGGACCCCTAAGCATCCTCTCCAATGAGACTTTGGATAAAACCCAAGCTCCCTCTTGGAAACAGGGCTGCATTTGTCCTTGATGCTATGCTCCCAACTATGGGAACAAAGACAGTGATACAACAGACCAGTGCAGAACTAGGATCCAGGTCATGAACCGAGTGAGAGGCCACACAAATCTTCACTACATGGCACCTACCTGAAGAGGCTGGTGACATCCCAAGGCATATCCCAGATGAGAAAGGCCAGTCTGTAGGGAACTGGTGGGACTGTTGACAGGAGAAATCCCAGACAGGTACAGGGAGGGATGGGAAATAGTCCTGCAAAGGGTCAGAGCTCATCCCTCACAGAGGCTCATATCGGGCTGACCCCATCACAGCAGCACCAGGGCAGGCAGAATCAGACCCAGGGTGGGTTGGAGGCGAGGGGGAAGCAGGGGAGGAGGGCTGCGAAGTGTTGGGAAACAGCCTGTTGTTAGATTTCAGGCCTGAAGTGTTTGCAAAATGTCCCAGACAAGCCTAACAGGGAACCTGAAGGCCCCGCTGCAGACAGAAGCCCTGCGGGCGAGCGTGGCGTGCCGAGATAAGCGTGGCAGGCTGTGCCGAGTGCCGCAGCCCCGCGTCTCCCAAGACCCTCCCTGCTCAAACACCGAGGAGTGTTCTGTTCCCTGACAAGGCCCTTGTGGGACAAAAATGCATCTTGTGAGGGTCTTCTTGGTGGTTTTCAGCGCTGAGGTCACCAGGGCTGTTTGGAGATAACGGAACAAGAGCGAGCCCCCTTTTAACTCTGGGTGCTGGTATGCAGGTTCACACCTAGGGCATTGCTCTG